TACTTTTATGTCACCCAATTTCACACCCAAACAGCTATCTTTCAGCTTCTGTAAACAGCTGTCGAGATACAGTATGAACAGCCAGGAAGACATGACACAACCCTGTTTTATGCCCGTTTGGACGCTAAACATGGGTGACAGGTTATGCCATACCCGCACACAGGCTTTACAGTCACAGTAAAGTGACTGCACAGCCCTTAGCAATCGACCATCCACACCATACCCCGGCAACAGTTCCCACATTTTCTTCCTTACAACCTTATCAAATGCTTTCTCAAGATCCACAAAAGCTCAGAAAATCTTCTGGTTAGCAGCCAGAAGCTTTTCCGTGATCATGCGGAGAGAAAACATTTGATCCGTGCATCCTCTTCCAGGTCTAAATCCGCATTGTGCCTCCCATAGAAATCTTTCCGATTTCTCTTGCATCCTACGTGTCAATACTTTCGAGTAAACTTGCTAAACTGGTCAAGCTGATCGCCCCATAGCACCCGCAGTCAAAATGTGAACCTTTACCTTTATATAAAGGCACAATGACTGCGGATCGCCAATCATCCGGGATATCCCCCGTCCGCCAGCACAAGTTGCACAGCAGATGAAAGCTGTCCCAGACGCGAGGCCCACCATACTTGACCATTTCAGCAGTAACTCTGTCTAGTCCCGCAGTCTTACCACATTTCAAACTTCGAATCGCACGTTCAATCTCTTTCATACTGATGACCTTAGTATCATCGAGGTCCGGGTCTGGCGTACCAGTCACGGCGTCATCCCCGGATCCCTCACTAAGATCATCACACGCATACATTCCTCTATAAAATTCACTCCATCGCTGCATGACGTCAGATTTTTCTGAGAGGACGTCATTAGTTCTCGAAAGCACTTTATTCATTCTTAAAGTCGTCGCACCACTTCGGGTCCTTCCAACCTCTTTCCAGAAGAGTTTGGAGTTCTCCTTGAAGTTGTCAGCCCTGGACGACGAAGCTACCGGCGCATAAACAGCCAAAAGGAATAACTTCGTCAGTCCCAATTTAAAGCGAACCCAGAGAAGTCTTGAGTTCACAACCTTATATTCAGTCATAACATCGACCAACCGAGAAGACAGCAGCACCCCCACTCTTTCTTTCATTATTTCGATCAACTCATTCGTCTTATCTGTCATGCCTCCTCTAACATTCCACGTGCCAACTCTGCACTCTGTCCTCCACCTTCCGCCGTGTCGGGCTGTGCGTGATGGGTGGCGGTCCCCATCGCCGCTTTGCGCGCTGCATTCCACACCAACGGGGACGAGCTGGTGTGCGTCGCCTTGTGGGGACGCCCTAACCCTCGTTGGCATGGGTGCGCAGCTGTGTAGAATTGCAGCCCTGAAAAGGGCTGGCAGGGGTCGCGACGAGCACGCTTCTACAATGACCCCATAATTAATTTATATAAATAATTTCACATAATGTTGTCCGTGCTAAGACATAGTGTATATGTCGCAGCTAACTAGCTTAATTAATTTTTTAGTTAAAAGCCTATTAATAAGGTGACACTGCCAAATAATTTCGCTAGTGTGCCTAATTATGCGGTATGTGCTATATAATATAAATGTACGCAGCTTTGAGTTAGCCCATGGGTAACCCAGGTGCACCATAACCTACTGTCGCTGATATTAAAAGATAATTGCAATGTTGTATTAGACGTATCGGCTGCATATCATTTAGGGCGCTAGTTGAACGGCGCCGTTTAGAAAAAAGGCTAATTAAGCTAGATGGCTGCGACATACGTATTAAAGCCCTGACTTCAGAATTTGAAATAATTTTATTCTTTTTAGTTCTTCGAAGTCTGCTTTTACGTTTAATTAAAAGTTAACGTTTTCACTCTTTTGAATTGACTATGGAATATCAATCTCAACGTCGTCTAAATACTTACATAAAACAACATTACAACAGTAAACACTTTTTTGCATATTTTGCCACCTTAGGGGTGAAGTTTTTTCTTCATATTTGCATAGGATCACTTGTGGAATATAAAATTATAAAAAATTATCAAAATTGGTTCAAAATTAACAAAGATATCGCGTAACATAAATACGAAATCTATAAACCTATGCAAACACATGCACGGACAATGTTTTGATCAGCAGTAGATCTGTGAAAGCTAATAAATGAAAGAAATTATGATGATGATAGTAAAGCTTTGAAACAAATTGGCGAGATGTGGGTTATAGCTGAACACTGTTTGCATGTAGTTTTCCTAAATTTAAATTTCTTTTTAATTCCTATAAACTTCTTTTCTTGAACTCGTTACCTATTAGGACGACATTTAAAATGTTGCCTTTAACTTAAAAACTTTAAAAAAATTCTATATTTTAGCTTTTAAAGTCCTACCTCTAACACACGTTTTAAAGATAATACAATTTGTCTTATTTTAAACTAAACAATTTCTGAGTGTTAATTTAGGTGATTAAAATCGGTTTAACTACTATTAATGTAATCTTAAACGGACCGCGATAATTCAGGCGAAAAGTGTTTGCCTTAAATTTATAAGTATTTCGAGTATTTATTTGCTTACTAAATATATAATACGGTCTGATTCTAGCGGCACTTGTCACTTAATAACATTTCACAGAAGTCGCAAATTGAACTTAATTATTAAATTTAAATTTACACACGCTGACGAACTGAAATCGTAACCAGCACCAATTAATTTGTTAACTGTAATTTTAATTACTGATTTAGCATATGCTTGATAGTCAGATGCGAAAAACGGTTCTGTAGCGCAGTGGCTTAGCAATAATTTGTAGCGCTAAGGGCCGAGAGTTCGAATACCGCACGGAACAATTATTTGTATGGCCCACAAATAATTGTTTCGGGTCTGGATATTTACCCTTGTGAAATCTATGTATGTAAACTGCCTCTACGATACATGAGAAAATCATAGTGTGGAGGTATTGATTAAAATAAAAGAAAACATAAATAAATAAAGAAAAGAATACCTTAATTTCTGAGATATAATATTTCGAAATCATTGGAAGTTTGTTCACAAATCCAAATCAATTTTAGAAAAAGAAATGACCAAATGTTAATTTTCTAAATATGTCACACACAAGTTTAAAGCTTAAGTATTTCTGCTTACGCAATCGTGAGTTGTTAAAAAAAAACTAGACTGTGTAAGAAGTGGGTGTCGATATCAAAATAATAAAAAAGGATTTTATAAAATTGAACTTTGAGCTATTAAGAGTGTGGAAGCTAAGTAAGTATTAAAATATTTGCTCTACCCTGGTAGGCTTGTATTTGAAGAAGTGGCTGTTATTACCTATAGATTTAAAAATAATTGTTATAGCATGTGTATAATAAAACATAATAAAATGAGACTATCTGACTGATATTTTTATAGAAAATCGGTGAAAAACGAACACACAGTCAAGAAATCTACATTTATTCAAGATTAAAAATTAATAAATTAATAATAATTAATTAAGGTTAATTACAATGTAGAAACCCGACACGCGTCTGATAAAAGTTTGTCAGCCTTAGTTGTTATGAATTTGTCCTTATTTTTATGAAATATAGTTAGTGTTTTGTTTTTTTGTTATAATTTATACTTATCTTCACGCACAATCCCTGACGGGGTAGCCAAAGAGAACAGATCGCCAAGTGTCACGATCCTTACATACCTCTTTCGCTTCTTTCAGATTAATTATCTTCTTCATACATGCATGTTCAGCAGTTGTTATAATTTATAATTATTTAATTTGTAATTTCCTCCAGTATAAAAATGAAGATTACAATGTACTTCAGACATAATTTCGATTAACGTGGCCATTTTCAATGGACACTAGTCATCCGCACAGGATAGTATTATAGTTACCGAGTGTATGCGTAAGCACAAATTCGCTCTTTATTTTCTCACTCTCATATTCCGATGGGAAGCTATAAGGAATATTCTACACGAACGGAGAGATCAGGCGCAGGACCAACGGCTTTCCAAGGCACGGATGTGAATCACCTTCAACTTCCTGATACCAGGTTGCTACTTAGAACTTCTTGACACATAAATACAATAACCGATTTTGGCCCAATCCGGGATTTGAACGCAGAATATCATGATCAGCAACGGCTTTTACCCTTACAAGACCATTTACATATACCTTTCGTTTTACAAAATTACACATTCCCTTGTGTGAATATAATGATTCACAATTTGCTTCGTCACTTTCCTGGTATCATACAGCTGTGTACGCCTTTCATAATTATTCAGCGGTTCTCGAATTTTCCGGAGCTAACTAAATAGGCGGGTCGAGAGCACCATGTTTATGTGCTTACATTCGTAACGAAAATTGTGAAAGAATAAAATTATATATTTAAATTAAATACTATTTGTTATTATATATAAATAGAAGAGATAAAAAAAAACTTAAAGCTCCTTGAGTTGAATAAGTTTACTACTCAATTCAAGACTATCTTAATGAATTTTTTTCCTTTTCCTTAGAAATCTATTAAAATTTTAAAATTATTTATGATATTAACCTCGTCATCAGTAAAATTGGACATTGTAATTATTTGGATCTTTTATTCTATTTTAATATTTGTATGGCAATAAATGGCAGATCATTTATGACAAAATACATAATTGTTAACATATTTGACGTATTATTTATGATCAACAAATAAACGTATATAAAACGTGTAGGGGAAGTCCGGGCAAAGCGAATACCTTAAGATATTCAAGGCTTTATCAGAAAATTTATAAGAGATGGAAACAAAACAAATATCTCAAATCAGTCTTTATTAATTGCTTTTACATATATAATAATCATTTAACTTTAAAAGTAAAACAACTAGTAACAAAAAGTAAAATTCAAAAAATTGAGATAGTATTCACTTTGCCCGTACCCCCGGGTAAAGTGGATATGGTGCACGGGCAAAGTGAATAACTACCTTCTAATTACACAAAACTCAAAGTTACACTTAGTTATGGAATATAGACGGACAAAACTTAAATTCGCGTTTAAAGGACAAATCTTAAAAATTAAGACTGGCAATTATCACATGTATAATCTCCAATGCCTTCGAAAGCGGAACATTCTTCGTGACACCATCTGAAACAGGCGCCACATCGAACCCAATTTTCAATTGGACGATTATTTTCTTCAATATATATTTCACCGCAAAAAAAACATACAATATCTTCAAATTTCTTAATTTTCTTTGATTGTTTATTATTTTAACAGGTTTTTTAGTAGTCTTTATTGAAACTTTTTTTGATTCTACATTTAGTTTTTTACTTATATTATTAACTGCATTTTTTTCAAATTTTAACTTCTGCTCTTCTTTTATAGGTGTACTAGTTAAAATTTCCGATTTTTGCAATTTGCGTTTACGAGTTGTTATTGGTTTCTCTGGATTTGGTATTGGTCTTAATACTCCGGGACTGTAGTGAAAGTTTGAACATCCAGGTTCCGGATTCGGTGGGTCATCACAGCGAGTATTTTTTGAGGTCCCTGGTAACATTGCATCACTTTTTAAAGGATGCATAACATTAATATTTGTAGCATCTGGCTCCAAAGTAGAATAAGCTTTAAGTGACACTGTTTCTGGTTCCAGTGTAATAATGGAGCATACTTCACTGTGAATAATATTTTCTGAGGTTTTAATAGATTCTTGGGAAACTACAATTGGTGCAACAGAGACTTGAGGTTGAGGTTTAGATAATTCGCAAATTGTAGCTTTTCCTGGAGGTAGAACTATTTCTGCATGGGGATCAACTGTCGAATTGTATTCTTGTGAAAGTGAGGGTGAAGGCGTTGAAGAGGCAGCGGAATCAGGAATATCTATTATTTGTATCGAATCTAAGCCTACTGTGCTGACATTCATACTTGATCTGCCTGCAATCACATCCGCTGGTTCAAAGTCTTCATCACCAAAAGCATATTTGTTCACTGGCCAAATTCCAGGTCGTTCAAACCCATGAACTGCATTTATGGCGACTGCACTTTTCAGAAAAGCTGGTGATAACAGTCTGGCCACGTCGTACTGATTTACAATGCGTCCAGGATGAGCCTTTTGGAATGTATTAATCTCTCGTTCAAAATACGTTTTCAGTGGGCCGTAGACGGCCACATCCATAGGTTGCATTTTATGAGTAGTATGCGGGGCCAAGGATAAAATTATGACGCTATTCTTACTTGCATATTCCAAAGCAGGATAATATTTGTGGCTCTCATGGTTGTCCAAGAGTAGAAGTACCTTTTTGTCGGCGCTAGGACGTACATGTTCTACGAAGAAATGCATCCAATCAAGAAATACCTCACCTGAAGTCCAACCACTTGGCGTACAAGTACCTTGAGTTCCGGGAGGCGCACCGTCAAGAAGCCTGGGTTGCATTTTCTTTCTGGCGAAAATCAGGAAGGGTGGTAGAAATGATCCAGCGGCATTACAACACCCGATGACAGTCGTTAATTGACCTCGCTCCGCACTTGCAATTATGCCCACCTGTTTCTTTCCTTTTATTGATAGTACTCTAGGGGGTTTGTTTGATGTCGTCGAAATACCGGTTTCGTCCATATTATAACATCTAGATGCATCAATATTGTATTTATCAATTAAAGATTCAAGATTTTCGTAGAAACGTCTGACTTCATGTCTATTGAATCCTTTTGCTCTCGCAACCGATGTTGCCTCTGCAGTTCTGAGCGTAATGTCAGTGTGGCGTGACAAAAATGATTGTAGCCAATCATCTCCTGCTTTTTCATACTTGTCCCAACTTTTTGGGTAACTCAAATTATTTTTTTTGGCATAGGTATACGCTAAATTCTTAAACTCATCTCGAGTTAAACCAAAAAACACGGAATCCATTTCTTTGAGATAGGTCATTAATTCTATCTCCTCATATTCACTGAACACAGGACGAAATCTGCCGAGTTTTGGAGTAACCTTGCCACTTTTGATGTGTCTGTACAAAGTTGCATAAGCCAACCCATACTTTTTAGCTGTGCCCTTCACCGATTCTCCGGCATGGCATAAATTTACAGCCATCTGCATGACGTCTTTATCCCAAGAGCCTTGATTAGTTTTTCTTTTGTATTTATGCACCATCTGCAACGAAATATGAGCTTTATAATACTGAAACGAAAAATCGTAACAGCCGGGCAAAGTGGATATCATATCCGCTTTGCCCTATTCACTTTGCCCAACCCGACCACTTTTAAGGTTAAGTTAGTTAATATAAAAACTATTGGTTTCAATTCCATGTTCGACATATTTTAAAAAGGCACTTTGATACGTAATAGAACTATATTACGCCCAAGAATGATAAGCAAATAATATAGGAAATATCATCAAAACACTTACCTCGAAATATTGTAAATTATTTTTCGAAAACACAATTTGCCGTTCTGTGGACGGCACACGACACAACCTCTCGCTTAAGTATTTGCCGCTCACTGAGACAAGATGGCGGAACGTTACTATGGCCGCGTGGTTAATGCTAAACGAATAGTTTGGTAATAGCGGGGACTATTCACTTTGCCCGGGGTGTTCACTTTGCCCGGACTTCCCCTACATTTTTTGTTTTTACTAAAACTTGGTAGCATAGTGCCTGAGTGCTTGACTATGGCAGCAAAGTTAAAAATAAACATACAGCATATGTACGTTCCACTCCTGGGCACAAGCCTCTCATTTATTAGAAGGGTTTAAGGCAAGGAAGTGTCCATCGAGCTGCCCGATGTATGACGGCGGACATCAAAGATCTCGAATTTTTTTTTTATTTTTTCACACATGCAGGTTTTATCACAATTTTGCCTACCGCCCCGAGCACATTGTAAGTCAGCACTTAAAACTGCATTAGTGCCGCATTGTATAATGTCATTGGTGCCAGTGAAAATAATTTCGACAGTATGTGGGCTACTCACCCGGTGCGGGTTTTTAATGCAAAACAACTGCGTCAGATTTAGCACTTATTATTTAAGGCATTGGGCACTAAAGCGCTTGATGTAACACTCAAATTGTAAAGCTACGAAACCAGACCAAAACCAAATCAAAGAGTATATAATCACCACGTTTTATCGTCAATATTCACGGCGTCTCATCCCGCAATTATCACTTCAATTTTTAATAATATAAAAGGCATTAAAATTATTAAGCATTAAGTTTAACCGCATCCCTTATCTGATTTTGTCGCAAAAATGTTTTTATTACACTTTTTCATTGTTCACTTTTATGGTATATGTACATATTAAATATTTTAAATTTTTACTTTTTTTCATAAAATAGGATGACGAACGAGCATTCAGTCCACGTAATAGTAAGTGGATGCTGTGACCCATATACATCTTCATCTATCCTTTATTAAGAATCAAACCGTATTGATGGTAAGAGGTGATTCAGCCAAACAAAACCTTGCCATAAATACAAAATTTTGGGTGCAGGGAAATACATATTATATATATATATATATATACGAGCTTGGGGTTTAAGACAATTAAAAACTGCCGATTGTATTACCAAAATTGACACTTTACAGAACACTAATTACAACTTAAAACTACTCTAATAACAAAACACAATTGTACTACTGATCACTTTAGTTCGCAGTTGTATCGCTACGAAGTATTCGCTTGTATCGCCAATTCAACACTAACTTGGGTCGCGGGCCTCAGATAATTCCAGAACCTTTTACTGTAAATACATCTAGAATATTCGAGTACATACCAGTCATAACATACTACATAGCAGTCTACCTGGTGTTATGATATGATGGATGATTTGGTCCGTAGACATCTACACCAATCCGCGATGAAGAATCTTAAGTTGTCACTTATGAAGACTAAGATGGAATGCCTCGTTTCCAGTAATAAGGTTCTCCGGTTCTTTACACACATCATACGAAACACAGCAGCAGTAAGCTGCTATTTTACGCTGGTAATCTGTGAGATTGTGGTCCTTCCCCGGTTGAGCCGACCCATTCGTGCTACAACCATAATCTACCACGTGTATGAACCGACCTCGACCGATTTTGATAATTTTTTGTATTTATGTGATTTCCTAGACGTTTTAAATTGTCATTTGGACCCGGCAGGTGGCGCTGTTGTCAGAGATCCAGAATTCACCCGTGTCACAGCGGTGACACTCTCTGTACGTGAGAGTTGAAGCGCCGGTGACATTAGGCCGGAGCGTGTAACGCTAGGGTTGATACCGAACCGAAATGGAATATTATAGACTTGTGCTAAAGAAGATACATAGTAGGTATATGTTATATAATGTAAACTTATGTATTTCGATAGCGAAAGATACGATCAATTTTAAATCAAATTTTATTAAATATTTTTAAATAAAACTAATTTTACGGAATTTATCGCGTATATTAACTTATTTTTAACTTATTTTATTTTATAAAACGTCGGGAATATAAAAATAAGTTAAAAATAAGTTAATATACGCGATAAATTCCGTAAAATTAGTTTTATTTAAAAATGTGTAGTGTTCGCGTAAATATAAGAAATCTTTATTAAATATCTTAACAGATGGGGAGAATTAAAATTTCCGACAAAACAAAATATGCATGACAGTTAATGGTAAACTTAAATAATAATTAACCAACACTTAGTATTTCAGTACGCAATAATCAGTATTACCTACTACCCTTTAAAAATTACTTACTCTTATATATTTTTGGCTTTTTCGATGACTTTTATAATTTTTATTATTATTTCTAACAATTGAAAAAATTCGTTGCCGTATGTATTATTTTTTTAGAAAATCCATAGGGAAGCATAGATAGATAGATAGATAACACTTAATTGTATGTCAAAAAATAACATAAATATTAACAAAAAATGAGAAAAATAAATGTGGTACAATGGGTGGTCTTATCGCTAAGAGCGATCTCTTCCAGATAACCTTTGGATGGACAGGATTGTAAGAAAACATTAAAAACGTGTGTGGTTTGGCTACAAAAATAACATCATTTTTATTAAAGCCATAAAATAGAAATGCAGAATGGTATATAAGTATATAGATAAGATAAATACATACATGCATATTAATATAGGTAGAATAATTATATACAAATGAATAGGCATTATTTTTGTATACAGCGCAGCCCTCAGCCAGGGCAGTCGGCGACGGCCCGTTCCACGCTCCGCGCGCCTTTCAAGGCGCCCGCATACATCCAGACACCCACACATAGCCGCAAGTGATTTTACGTGCACACATGCTTAAGTGTCGTTTCTTTTCGCGTAGTGTATATATTCTTTGCCCGTGTGAAGCTAAGACGGATCGCAATAAATTTAGAACATATTATTTTCTTTACGAATACAAGTTTCAACTAAGACTTGAATACAAGACCAGTCAATTCGTTATGATAGCACAATATTAGAAATATGTTTTTATAAAGATACTCACAAATGCCTCAATATCTTCATCTTCATTTAGTTGTGCACTATAATATATCAATATAATATAGATATAATTTGTTTACCAAATATATTCATGGCCCCCAAAGGTGAACAACAGCAAGAATTAAAACGATTAAGGTATCCAGTCGGATTCCAAGGGATCATAAAGAGAGGGTCGGTGCTCGGTAATGTATTTGCATCTCATAAAGTACCATGAATATAGAATGAGACGGGAATTAAAAGGCGCTAGCTTTGTTGGAATTCCAGAAGATTTATATACTTTATTATGAATTTAATATTTTCATGGTTAAGGATTTAATGCATACTAAAAATAAATTAATTAAATCTTATAACTGACTCTTACCATTCATTTCGTGTAAAGGGAGTATCTTATGATTAAGTTCTCATAACCAATCCCTACGGAGTTATCTTCCCAACATTATTATCTGGAGTCGACTATCTTTCACAAGAGACTGTTGGATTTTATCGTGTGCAAATTATCAAGATTGGAAGGGTTAACAAATTAACAAGGATTTTAAGTATATAATCACAATGAAAAGATATTCAATAAAGGTCATACTAGTTTACGCATAAACATTGATATACTCTGATTATGAAAATCGCTGTCACCTCTGAAGGTTGTTGGGATTGCTGGGAAACTCAACTCTAAAGGAAAGATGGTGATAAGTCAATCTATACAAATAAATAAAATTGAAGTGTCTGTATGTAATGTCAAAATTACAGCTTCTTACTAAATTCATATGAAAGTATATACGGTACTAATAACAAAAATACAATTTTTAAAGTTTTTGTCTGTCTGTCTGTCCGTCTGTCTGTCTGTTTGTTCCAGCTAATCTCCGAAACGGCTGGACCGATTTTGACGGGATTTTCACTTATTTTAGAAAAAGAATTAGGGTTCCGCGCAAAAAAATTAAAACCCAAAAAACACGCGAGCGAAGTCGCGGGGAACAGCTTGTTGAACAATATGGAAACGAGCAATGTACTAAGGCAAAGGGTCCATGTGCGCATGGCAGGCTTATAGTGCTTAAGCACAAGTGCACTCTCTATTCCCTCACTCTCATAGTTCGTTACGTCGGAAATTTAACACAATCTGCAAAAATCAGGTGCAGGATAATCGAGTTTACGTGCTGTTTCGTCCGAAGGTGAAACATTCCCAACTTTCTGACTCCGAGATGCTACTGAGAATTTCGTAACAGAAAAATCGATTTTTTTTAAATTCGAAACTGAGAATTCATGATCAGCTGCCACGCTTAGGCGTCACGGTCACTAGATAAATAAGGTAATTTCTGAGAATAAAATATTGTAAATATGAATAGCTGCGCACGTCGTTGAAGCTACACGCAAATATTAGTAATGACCAACGCGATCGCACGCAAATACACAAGTCTCATTCGACGATAAAATTGCAGTGATATTATGGACGACAGTCCAAACCACGAGCCAGCCACGAATTGGTCGGCTCAACCGGAACAGGATCAAGCTCTTAAAGAATACTAACGTAAAAAAGCAGCTTAGTGCTGCTGTATTCCGTATGGTAAGCGTAGAGAACTGAAGACTGTTTTCACTGGAAACGAGGGATTCCATCTTAATCGTCAAGAGAGACTTACAATTTACTACGTAAACACAATATTAACGTAGTATATTGTAAGTATGTCAGTAAGTTTTTAATTAATATGAAAT